ACAACACAGTAACACCATACAACACAGTAACACCACACAACACAGTAACACCACACATCACAGTAACACCATACAACACAGTAACACCACACATTACCACGGTAACAAGACACGGTAACAGTTCCTCCTCCCTCACATTACCAAACTAACACCACATTACCACAGTAACCCCACCTTGCCTTGGTAACACCACACAACGGTAACCCCACATTACCACGGTAACGCCACCACACCACACGACCACAGTACCTGTGGCTGTAGGCGCTGCATGCGAGGGCGGCGCAGTGCGGGAGGTGGTGCAGGACGTAGCTGCTGAAGGCGCGGGCCTTGACGTGACGAGGATGACGACGCAGCACCGTCATGGCCACCGCCAGCACCTCCACGTGCATCCCCAGCACCAGCAGCACCGACAGCAGCTGGTCCTGGCAGATCAGGTGGTGCGGGCTTACCCGTAGACCCTGCCAGAGATTATGGTTAATTATCATGAGATAAATGGCTGATATATAAGGCTTTAGCAGCAATCAAAGTTATAATAAATGTTGAGATAAATGGCTGATATATAAGGCTTTAGCAGCCAAATTAAGGTCATCTATACAGATCCTGTCAATTATCTACAGGCTTTATGGGGTTATTGATCAACTTCATGCTTCATGTACAAGCTGCCTTGCAGTTCATTATACGTAGATAAAAGTTTAAATATTTAAATAACATAAATTCATAATTTCTTCAGCTTGATATATCCCACTTTTGACTGACTACATTCAACGTGGCTCGATTAAAATTATACATAGTTCAGAAGCAAAGTATTTTCTTGCCTTTTTCAGTTAAATAAAATTACCTACACCTCATTAGGAAGGCAATGCAGCCACTAAAGGCAATACAGCCACTAAAGGCAATGCAGCTACTAAAGGCAATGCAGCTACTAAAGGCAATGCAGCTACTAAATAAGAAGCAATATGAGCTCTTCCACCACACAACCACTTGGGGAGCAATAATATAGCCTGGCACCAAATTTTTCCCTTTTGTAAAGCCTGGATACTAATGAAATAATTCTCTTACACAGAGCTAACAAAAAGGAAAAAATTAGTCACTATTATAATATACAAATCTTCAAATTGTTAGAGATGTTGGAAAAAAATGAGATTTCCAGTCTAAGATTAATGAATTTTGAGGCATACTGCAATCCATCATTGAATAGATAGAACTAATGGATACACATAAACATTTCTATTTTTAAAACCATGGCAATAATTTTTGCAAGAAGTTTACCATTGTCTGAGCTCTGACAGTAAACATCTGTAGCACACAGAGAAGGGATCATGACTGGAGCCAAAAGAATCAAACTCAATGAAAAAAAACTCCAAACAACTCAATGAAAACAGAATAATTTACAGAAAATATTCACAGGAGCTACCTGTAATTATTTTAAAATAAAGAAAATAATTATAGGAGGTTCAAAGTGTAGTAAAATCTTGGCAGAAATCTAAGAGTCAGTATTGCATAGAAGGGTACATTACCTCGAATGAATAAAATATAAAGGAGCTATGCAGTAAAAATGAATACCTCTTGGAAAGCTACAAGTGCCAGCTCAAAATCCCGCAGCTGAATGGCAGCCAGGCCGAGGCGATAGCTCACGCCCACCTCGCCCGAGTCCAGCTCCATCGCCTTCAGGGGATTTATAAAACTTTTAATGGTAAAGAGCACAATCGATGGAGGCGCTATGATCACGGATGTTCACCAAATATTGTGGGGAAATATATTTTAAAAAGGAAAGAAGACAAATACAATCAAGAAATATAAATAAACTCTTACTTTATTATTAAGTATTTATTTCAAATTTTTTATATTTTTTTCAATATTTAATTATTTTCAATTTTGGTGTTCCTAATTTTCATTGTCTTTGCTAGAAATATGACTACAAAGGTGCAAGTTGAATGCTATTGTGAAATAAAAATAGAAGTTTCAAAAATCTTACAGTTAAAATGTTCATAATAACCTGAATGAAATACGAGCTGGCTGCCTGGTAACATTTTTGTTCCATTTTAATGTTGCCCAAGTTCTTGTAACAGGAATATTTCAAACCAAGTTCAGGTGGAAGTTTTTTGCCTCCTGATGTGCAGAATTCAGTTCCAGGTTCAGCCTGTAAATACATGGAGAACTTATCCATCAGTGACTACAAGTGACATGCCTAGTATTGGTCATCTAACTGTCAACAAATTACTGCATTTGCTTCATGGGGCTGTCCGAGGTTCTGGAGAATGTTACTACTACTTTACACTAAAAAAATTCTGCCACATTTATGCAAATATTGGTGAAAGATAAGCACATCAAGGCACACATCCAGATATGGGTGCCTTGATGATAATTAAGAAATATGAAAAATGATAGTGAAAACTTGAACTGTTTTTTTTATCTATGCACCTCATGAATGAATAAAAATGAGTAAAAGGAATTGACTACAATGCCACAAGATATGAATATATCAAACCAAAGTAGTTATTGCATGATACAGACATAAAGTTATATAAAAACACCAGGTAAATTCAATTAATTACAAATGAATTATCAAGCTTCACAGGTCAATTATAATTAGTTGACTTACATTTTCGATGATGGGATTGCTCAGCACTGCAAGAAAATTTTTTTCAGCCAGCTCATTCTTTGACTGAGCCATTTGCTGTATTGCAGCAGAATGCATGGAATGAGCATTTGCTTCCAATACTTCACGACTCGGCCCCACCAAGACTTGACCCGAGGCATCATTGGGGTCTACTGCTTCTGATGAACCTCGGCCCGAATTGAGAGCAGAGATGCGGAACATGATCAACTGATCAAGTTCCTCAGGGGCTTCAATAGGTTTGGGCAATAAACTCGATGCCAAATCAAATCTACATATCAGTTAACAAATACATGCACTGTGGAAAGATGAGACAGATTTTATAACAAGATCCACAAAGGCCTGAGATGTCACTGCTAAATTAAAGTATTACCTTGAATCTTATCAATGTATAAAAAACAAAAATTAAAAATACATATAAAATCTCTAGAAATCAAAATTGAAAGTTCTGGTAATGTAATTTTGCATTGTCTTCAATTATAAATTAGAGAAATTTTACATGAAACTCTCATTCTCCATTGAAAGATTAAAGCATTCAACATAGTAGACTATTGGTAGTTGATCACATCCATTTAAAAGAATTGTTAAAATTCTCACAAGAATTTACTAGTTCATTTTAGATATTATTGTTTTTTTTATATTAATTCTGACAAGTATAATTAAGAAATACAAAAAATGCTAGTGAAACTTGAACTGGATTTTGCAACTAACTGCATTGAAACTGGAACCATTGTGGGGGTGACAGACAGTTTGACTGGAGGAAAAAAAACTCTAACTCAAATAATTCTTGCCTTAGAAAAATTGTATTGATGGCTCTTGAACTGCCATGATATAAACTACAAATGCAATAGAGATATATTATATATGTCTACCATGTGACTATTTGTATCACAAAAGGTTCCAGTGCTGAAAATGGTCCAAGTCACCCCATTTTACAGTACATCAACACATTAATTCAAAGGGCCTGTGCCAACTTGGGACAGAGCCAAGTCATGAGCAGCAGCAGCAGCAGCACAAGACTGGCAAGTGCATCACAAGGATGTTGAGTCAAGAACTTCTTGCTGTGACATGATTGCTTCAACAATTTGGGTAGAACGTTAGAAAGTAAAGTTACAGATCCTGGTCCTGAGATCCCACAAGATTGAGTACCTATATGCTGCACATGCTATATGTATATGATAAAATGAAAATATTTTTGTTCAAGAATTCAACTATCAAAAATAAAGAGGTCAAAATTCAAAACTTACTAGGAAAATTTTTAATAAGTTTAAATATGTTTTGAAATTTTTCTAGCATAAATTTCAACATAATGCAATTTAAATAAAAATGACTGTGGCTTCAACACTATATAAGGTCATAAAACAGTGGAGGAAGACATTATTAACAATTTCTAATTATATTGATTTATGAGTATACTGGAGATGCAGTTACTCGAACATTTAGATTCAAGTATTTCCATAGATCTGATTGGGTAATGATACAATTAATTGATTGGTTGTAAATATCTTCTAAATAGATCAAACAAATTCTTTAAATATATGTACCATAGAATCTTACCAATAAATCAAAAGATTCTTAAATGGTAAACATAAACACATTTGGCAATATTTTGAAATTTCTTGAAAACAACTATGTGTCTTCTAGTTTCTACATATGATATTAAATCATTAATTGCATGAAATAAGAAATTATATACATGTTGTTACCAGTGTCTCAATGTGGGTGAGAACAACTTGTTGCCTACTTTATCTTACTAGTTTGTAACAAAAGAATGAACTAAACTAATATGATGACTCAGGTTAGAAAAGGAAAATGAAATGCAAATACTAGTTCTAATAACTAGGTATAGGGGTCTCATACAGTTATGGGATGGTATAGAAAAATTGATAAGATACAAAGCATGTACCGTCAACTGGGGTGACTTCGGCCAGCCGGGGTCACTTCAGCCTCACCTACAACAGAAACAAATGGCAGCAAAACAAAATAATAAATGTTGGCCAAAGTCACCCCGGTGGCCAAAGTCACCCCAGTCACTTTGGCCAATGTTTATTATTTTGTTTTGCTGCCATTTGTTTCTGTTGTAGGTGTGGCCGAAGTCTCCCCAGTTGACGGTATAAATGGTTAACTAGAATTTACCTGAAGGTAAGACCAAGTAGAATGCACAAAGACACTTTAATGAGCATCATAAAGAGTGTATAGAAAGCTTCGAAGCATGAATAACTTCTGACAATGGATGCCAGGAAAATAGGCATATACCTAAGGAGCATGGACAAGATACATTTAGGATCTGCCAAATAAGAAAGTAAAACTTACAAATTTTATGCATCCCAATCCTAAGACCACGAGTTAAAGAAATGGAGTGCATTTTGTTCCCGACATCCTCCCGGCCGGCAAAATAGACCTAATAACAATGTGCATAAAAATTAATACCTAATAACAATGCGCGGTACATGGACTATATAAATTAAGTCAATACAGCATAATTACAGAGCATAATTAGACTGTGATACAAAATATTCAAGAAGAAATTGATCTCTTAAGTAAGTTAGTCCATGCTCCTGTTCTAGTTAGTCCATGCTCCTATGTATGTTAGTCCATGCTCCTGTTCTAGTTAGTTACATGGTCCTATGCTCCTTGCTCCTATTTTTGTTAACTCCTATGCTCCTTAGTTCCTTATGCTCCCTGTGCTAGGCCATTCTTCACTCAGTTATGCACCACACTTATTCATTTTGTAACCATGAGCCATTTAATTGAACTGTAATCTAAATTCTGTTTCATTTGTCAGTAATAAAAGATCAATTTTAGTCTTCTCATTATCCACTTCCCAAGTAGGTTGTTGCCAACCTATCAAGTAGAAGTAGGCGACGTGTTTGCCTCACCCGCGGGAGACACGCGGCAACAACAGTATTACTAGAAGTTACATTGCTGGACTGAGATCTTCCACTTCATGAAGTGAAGTCAGATAGTCTGAATGCCAGCATTTTCAAAAACTTTGAAGTAAAAGTTGATTGTGAGTTAAACATTTGGTATGAATGGTCTTTTCATTGAAGAATGGGTGGTGAAAATCTTCACTGTCAATTGGGTCTGGAAATTTTTAGATTTGATGACCATTAATCAATAGCGAGGGTGTTAATGGTTGTAAATCATTGATATCATCTGAAAGATAAGTCAATGGTGTTGTATATTTTTGCTCCATTTGAGCAATTATGGTTTCCAAACCTGGGCAAGTTATGTTATGTCATGCATACCGTAAAAGGGGGTAACTTACACTACTTTTTTTTTAATGATGCCATTTTTTTACTAGATAAGTTAAACTTAAATTGAAACATGCAAAATACAGGTCTATACTCTAGCTTTACTTATCATAAATTGCTGGCTCCTGCCTCTCATAATTTTGATGTAATTTAAAAAAAAGTGATGGTCTTTGTTACCCCAGCTCTTGGGGTTTCTTTGACCGTGTGGTAAAATCAATTTTATTTTTTTTAAATAACTCCAAATAACTCCAGGTTGTGGTGCATTGTAGTAGAACTCTTCTAGTAACATATGCAAAAGACAGATTTTAGGAAAGTGTCATAGTTTGCAAATGGGAGGCGCCGCCCCCAATGGGCGAAATGTGACCAAGTCAATGTTACCCCATCACGGCTGCCATCAGGTGGTCAAAGTTTCCCCCATTGTGGGGTGGCGCCCCCATTTGCAAACTATGACACTTTCCTAAAATTTGTCTTTTGCATATGTAACTAGAAGAGTTCTACTACAATGCATCAAAACCTGGAGTTATTTTACCAAAAAATAAAAAAATTGGAGGGGGTACTCTGACAGGCTTTAAATAATAGCTCTTTTTTGTGGGTCACATTATTAATTTTTTAACCTATAAGATATGCAAACTTTTTACATCTTTCTATTGTGTTACGTAACCTCAGTATTAGGCCTTTGATGGCCATTGACAAAAATTTTCTATGTCAAATCGTTTTTGAGTTTTGGGGGTTTTTGTTAAAAACAACGAAAAGTAGTCAAAGTTACCCCGCCGGTCAAAGTAACCCCATTTTATGGTATTTTAGAGGAAATGTCATGCTCACTGCAAATTTTGGCACGTGTTGTCATATAACTTAGGAATGAAGGTTAAATTCAAAATATTTTCACAAGCTAAATATGACCTTTAGGTCCTAATGAATACATGTACCAATTCCATCAAGCTACATTCATTGCTTTGGGAGATATTCCATGCTCACTGAATTTTGACACCGGCCGAAAATCTGGCCGTAAATTTGTCCGAGACGTGTTGCACAGAGCTCTTTGAAGTTAAAATGCAGCTGACAACCATATAAAAGTTATACATATTTTACAGTGCGAGTGGGCAACATTATTTCTTATAATATAAAATCACTATTTTTTTCTTTTCTTTAAAACATAATATTGTGTTGGAACTGCTGGTTAAATGAGATTCACTTCTGAAATGGCTTGACCAAAAATTTGATCACAATCGCAAAATAATTGAATTAGTGAGATAAATAGGGAAAAATTTCATGATTAGAAGCTTATCTTTGTGTTATAAATAACTAATAAATGCACAATGTTGTCTTTCAAAAATATTTATTTTTACATATTTTTTATTCAAGCAACTGAATCCAAGTCCATAAATTAGTGTTGATGTTCCTTTTTGCATTTATTGTTTATAAGTGACGCAGATTGCAGTGATTGCAGTGAACCAATGTGTTTACATTAAGCTTTTTGGTATGTGACAATAGATTTTTTAAATAAAAGGGTAAAGCTTGGAAAAATGAAGTTATGAACTGTTATTTGTGAACAACAAACTATTATATTAGGCCCCAGGAAATTGAAAGAAAAATATGAACATAGAATTTATTTTGTGAATGGGTCTAAACATAAGCTAGGAAAAAAATTAGATTGTCACCCTGTACTGCAGTGCACTCTCTGCCACGGCATCCACTCCTTTTATGGGGCGTGCGCTCCTATTTTAGCTGGAGTGCTCTTTAATTCTTAAATTCCCACTGTGCAGAGAGTGCATGAATATTGCAAGATCTTTGGCGACACTTCAGTAGCAAAATTTACGCCTTCAGAAGATCTTGCTGACACATTTAGATTGGAATTCTTGCATTTAATATATTTATCAGTCTTCGGCCAACTATTTAAAAAAAGTAAAGTTTCCTTTATGTTGGATGGATCAGGATGCAGTGAAGCTTGTCCGGAAATCAGTTGCGATGAGTTCCCGCCAAAAAATGTAAACATCAAGTTTACGATTTATTTATTTATAACGATTACGTAGTTG